AAAATAGCACCAGCACTCGTAAGTCTGTTGCTAAGCCAATTAATGGCTTAACAATAAACGAGATTTAAGTTATGTACTATTATATTAAAAAAAATTTATTTTTTCACTTTAAATTATATTTGTTTTAAAAAGTTAAATTAAATTAACAACTAAATTTTGTCATAAAAGTATCCTAACTAAATAAATATATTATTATAAATAAATTTTGAATAAAAATATTAATTAAATAATAATATGTTAAAATTATGAATTTATAATATCACTTAATATTATAATTATATTATATCTATATTATATTTATGAAATAATAAAAAATGTGTTTCAAACTTCGATGAGGTACCAGACTAGAGTTTATTGTGTTGGTGGTAATGATTTTTTTGTCAAACTAAAAAAGAAAAAAGAAAAAAGAAAAAGAGATAAATTTGAGAAATTTTCATTAAAAACCTTAATTTTAATTTTCCTTTTATATTAATAAATAATCCAGAAATATCTAATTTTTAAGATTAAAAAAAAATCTATTTCTTAAAAAATAAAATGAATACATATTTCTTATTTATTCCTTAACTTGTAGGAAAATTATCAAAATTAAGGTATAGCTATTCTTAACTTTATAAAGAAGTTCCTTAAATTTAGTTTGATTTTGGCCTCATTTGGTATAGCAGTGTAAAGGTAATGATTAGTGATTTTACTTAAACTGTTAAAAATAAGTGTTTAATAAATTTTTATATTTTGAAATTGCTATGGACAAATTGTTTGGTAAAAATTTTTATTTAGCGATTTAAAACTAATAGATAACAATTAAGCAATGTTTTTAGACCCGGTCCGGTTACTTGTCCGTTTTGACCATTGGGTTCGGGTCAACAGGTTGAACCGGTTCATCCGATCGGTTCAACTGATCAACTAAAGTCAACTAAAAAACTTTTTTTTTGGGCATTTTTATTGAATTTTGCTTTTATACCTTACCTTCACGATTTCACCCGAAAACGATACAGATCGTTTTGAGCAGAACAGACGAGGGAGATGAAGATGATCGGCGAAAGAGAAGAAGTGCAGCGACGGAGGAGAGGATCGGCGAACGCTTGGCGGAAAAGAAGATCGACGGACGATTGGCGGTAGAGAAGACCGGCGAACAATCGCGGAAGAGAAGATCGGTGGACCATCGACGGACGAGAAGATCGACGGACGAGAAGATCAGTGGAAGAGACGATCGACGGACGGTCGGTGGATGATCGACGGACAATCAGCGAACGAGAAGATGATGAAAATTTCAGCCAGACCGGTTGCAGCGGGTCGCACGAGTTCAACGGGCGGGACGAGTCTGACGGGTTTCAATGGGTTTCAACGGGCCATTTGCTTAAACGGGTTGAAGTATTCGACCGGCCCGTTTTCAAGTCCGGGTCCTGTTGAACGACCGGGCCGGGCAGGGTCCAAAAACATTGCAATTAAGATCCAAACCATTAGTAGATTGAAGAAGCTACTGTAAATAGCATTCTGTATCAAACCACTAGTAGATTAAAATTTTTTATTTTTATTGATAAATTTATCAATTTTAATTTTTTATTTTTAACTACAACTTTTAATTTGTACTTATCTGATTAATTTTAACTTTATTTTTTCTTTAATAACATTACGTAATTATTATGCCAATAACTTATTAGTCCAAATAGAAAAGAGTTCGATTTTCCTTAAGTAAAATTTCAAGTTCGAGTTTTGTGAATGAAAAAATAAACGCTGAAAGAACTTCCCCTCTTATGAGGTCCAACGCGATTCGATTCCAATTAATCGAGGCCCAATGTGACTTTCGAACATTGGAATGTTAATACCAAAAAAAAAAAAGAAATAAGTGATTATTATTTTTTTATTTTTTACATTAATTTACCATAAAAAACTATGTTAGCTAAATAAAAAAAAAAATTGTTAATTAAACAAAATGATTAAAATTTTGTTTTTTCTTTATTTAAAAATAATATAATTTTTTTTGTTAAAAGTAAAAATAAATGTTATTACACTATTATAATTTATTTTATTTATTTATTTTCTTATTATTATTTTTATAAAATTAATCATTTTAATTATAAGAAAATAATAAGATACACTTAACTATTTTTAAACATATCTTTATTAATTATTTAAAATTGTTGAGGGATGAATTTATATGGCTATAAAGTCAATGACATGTACAGCTTCACATCAACAAAGGCCCACATGACTTATTTTCCATATCAGACATGATATTCTTATTTTCTGCTAATTACTACAACAAAGTTAACATCGCTAGAAATGACACTTAGCTAGAAATATTGTAAAATACAGCCTATGCCAGTATCTATTTTTTTATATATACATGGCCAAACGTGACTAGAGCTATTCCAACGACATGGCTAGACATTTTTTACGGTCGTGTCTTCCACAACTATATTCACTGTTGCATCTTGTAGCTCCTAGCAATGGATAAAAAGCTGACTTTGCTACACATACATGACCACCATCAACGGACAATGGGCCACATCTACACAACCCCTGGCGTTGGACAAAGGGCCAAATTTGTTATCTCATTTAGCCTCCAACAATGGGTAAAAGGTTGTCTGTTTCTACATGTCTTCATTACACCGACTCCCGACAACGAACAAAGGGTTAGACTTCTACATATTTTATCTCATTGGCTCCCGAAAAACGAACAAAGAATCAACACAACTTGATAGGATTAGCGTGAAATCGATAACAATTACAACCTTGCAATCAAACGGAATGGCTACCCTCCAACGATAAAAACCCATCAAGTAGCGGCCAACTGTCCCTTGGTGGTCGCCCGTGCATGGTGGTGTGGTGCTCAGTGGGCAACAACAACCAGGACCACCCTCTGACGGTGCGAGTACGGCAAGGAGGGCCAACGTTTGTCAATGGTATTACACCTTGTCATATCGGAAGCCATGGATGCGGTTGGCATCCCCCTTCGGTGGAAACAATTCCACCTCTCTCTATTACATGTTCATCGCTATGGC